TAGTAGCAGCTTATTCGATAGCGCGATAATTACAAAGAAAGAAAGAAAAAAAGAACTACTTTAATCGCAATTTCTCGCAATTAGGTAATTTTGGTAATGGGTTAAGAGTGTTTGTATGAATCAAGGACAATTTTTTTTAATCCTCTCCTTTCCTCCATTTTATAATATCATATATACGATCAAAGGATGAAGAGAAGATATCGCGATGGATATCAGATCCACGCGAGAAATTTTCCAAAATTTCTAATTGCTTCCTGTTAAATATCGAATCCAGTTATCCGTTGCAACAAACGATCCACTCGCTCGTTCTATTTTCTTTTTTTTTCATTAATTCTTCTCCCTCGACCATCGCTCGAATTGTAATGTTCAATTTAGCGTGATCCCTTTTGACGCGATGTTCGATTGGTGTCGAAATTGAGGATTAAAGGAAAGTTCGGCTCTTGTTCGAAGTCAATTTTCGATTCTCTTTTTTTCGAAAAGCTTTTTTTTTCCAACATATATATATATATATACATATATCCGATTCCTCGCATGGACAAATTGCACGAATGCTTTCACGCCTTCTTCCTTTATTAATATTTGCAGACCTCGAGTAAAAGGAAATTGGAAATTCGCAAAATGCTCGATATTGACGCGGATGATTTAGTGAAAGACTCTGCACGTGTAATGGAACCGTTGCCGTACTTCTTCTACCTGAAAGTGGAACCGGACATCGACATAGCTATAGAGCACGATGACGAGAAGGTGATCCTGGCCGACACCGAGCGCGAGAACATAACCGGTGATTACCAGCGGCTCTACTTCAATCTTTCGGACAAACCTTGCAAAGGAGGGAAACCGTGGATATTGTAACACGAGGAGAACACATGTCACTAAAAAGCGTATACAAAAGCAACAATAATAAAATAAATTCTTGCAGCTAAACTCTTGGTCGGATTACTATTAACGAATATTCGAATCGTGATCGAAATAGAGATCGATCGAGAAGGTAAGCTGTGGAATAATACGTAATAATTGATAAATATTTTTCATCGGGAAATTGAAGGAAAGAAAGAAAGAAAAAAAGAAAAAAATAACGAGTCAACCGTGTAATGAAAAATAATAGAGCTGCATCGAGGTAAAATGTTTACCCGATCTTCGAGGTATATAATTCATACGGTTCGCTCGTGAAACAAATATCCGATACACGAGTGGAACTAAGAGTGAAATGAGAGAGAATTCCCGAATGAACGAGTCGAAGAGAGGGGGGGGATGGGGAGGAAAGCTAAAAATTCGCTCTTGGCACGGAGAAATCGAGAATACCATCGTGAATTCTCAAGTATAGAATTAAATTTTCCACCATCGATTTCTAAATATATCCCCCTCTCTTTCCCATTTTTTAATCAGTTCTCTACGGGGACTCATGCCGAGAGTCGTCGGATGAACGTTCGAGTGAACGGCGGGACAATAACGAAGCGTGCGAGAAAAATAAGGAAAGATGGAAAATAATGGAGAGCGTCCATTAAAAACGGGTATAATCCCCGATCCTCGGTTACGATTCCCGACACGATGGCTCGTAATAAAATTCATCGATCGGCGATGAGGGGGGGAATGCGGGAAAAAGTTCTAAACTCTTTCCTCCGCCATTTTTCGCACGGCAGCTGCCTTTTCCGACGGAGCTCGCCCGTAACCGGACCAGGTGACTCTTCGAGAGCGAATTCTACTTCGGCTGCATTTAGATTCCGTGTAATATCTGGATTCGACATCAAAGACGCTTTCCTGTCAGAATCATCCGACATAACCCGGAGTCGGATCCAGCGTATGGCCAACAGCTTATTATACAACATCAAAGCTATCTCCCGTGTTCGTACCGCCTTGTCGGATAGGAATTTTACGTAACGCGCAAAGATGTATTTTTTCCTCTTTGAATCTCTTTTTATCGATTATCATTACTCTAATTTAATTTCAATTTTCCATACGATAATACGATTCGTAAATCAACATGAACATCGATACAACATTATTTTATTTTACCTTTTTTCTCTCATCGTTCTTCTGAGAGAGATAATTGAAAATCGAATTCGAAGGTGGATCCGTCTCCACGTTTTTCTGTACACTTTCCCTCGTGTATAGTGAGAAAATTTTTCGAAGCATACAAATCAACGACGGGACGAAAAGCAATCGAAAACTCGAAAAGGGAAGTTTGTCGCGAAAACTTTATAAATTCTGGGTTTGTCTCGCGCCCCAAGCTTACCGATGTCGCGGCAAGCGTTCAACATCGATCGGCTCCGGCCTCCGATATTATATTCGGTCGTTGGTCGCGAGCGAATTTCGAATAGAAGCGGGGAAAGGAGAGAGGGAGGGAGGGGGGAAGGAGGTCTAATTAAGAAGTACACAGGTGTAATTACGAGGAACACGGTGTGCGGCGTATATGTATAGATATATGTATATGTACGCATGGATCGGTTGGCGCATTATCCACGGGGTGTAATTAATTTCCAACGATAACAAGTTTCGAGGTGTCCATGGTTACGACGACGTCCTTGCGTGAGTCGGTGAGGGGTGTTTTCCATCGAGCAGAGGGTTAACACGAAGAGCCGCGAAGAAAGTAAGGTAAGAGGCGATACTCGGAACTCGGTTACCCCTCTCAAGTTTTCAGGGGTTGGTTATTTGATTTCACGTTGAACTTTCAGCTTCTGGAGAGATTCTGGACAATCTGCATGAGCTCCTCCTCCTCCCCTTCCTCCTCCTCCGTCTTCTCGTTTCTTCTCGGAAGTTTGGGAACGGTAGAAAGCGAGACTTGATGTTCGTTACCAAGGGTAAACGAAGCTCGATAACGATTTCTTCTCTCTCTCTCTCTCTCTCTCTCTTTCTCTTTGGAAACGTACGAATCAAGTTTTGGGAAGAATGATAATAAAAAAAGAAAAGGAAAGGAAAAAAATTAGTTAGTAAAAGTCCAAGGTAAGAGGATATATTTTAACCGTTCGCGAAAGAAATTTCGAAAAAAATTCCTCTCCCTGAAAGTTTTCGATATTTCTCCCGAACATTGTTCCCTTTTCCTTCTTTTTTTCTGCCCCCTCTCCGTTATTTCTTCGGGCAACTTCTACCCCCGTATTTACATCTCATTAATTTTAACGACTACTGACTTTTTTTCTAGGCGACACATCGAGGGCCTTCGAGTCGAGAAGAGCGGAGGAGGCTTCGTTCAAGGCTTGGAAGATTACTTTTCGGCGCATATAATTTTCAAAACAAATTTCCTTGGAGAGGGGTGAATAAGGATGACCGATTTAAAATAGTCGGGAACGAGTCGAGGGAGCGGAAGAGGCTAATAAAGTTCAAAGGGTCTGTTTATCAGCCAGGATATTACGAGAGCCTTTTATAACGGTTCCTTCGTAGAGAGCGCGTTTTATTTCGCTACTCTGCCCCCCCCTCACCCCTGTTAATTTCATTTGCGTCGAAACGATTCGAGGATCGAGCACCGAAAGTCCAAAAAAAAAAGAAAAAAAGAAAAGAGAAAAAAGAAAAAGGAGGTTGCTTGTTTCGCTCGAAGATCGTCAAGATCTATCACGATCTATCACCGTGTCTGTGATTTATCGTTGAAAAGTGGCACGATTCGCTTCATGATATAATGATGTGCGCGTGGAATAATTTTTAAATCTATGCGCGTATCGATCTATCTTGCGACGAGTTCGTAGACAAACAGAAACGGTCCACTCTGTATTAACCGTATCGGTATGAAGCGTGATTTACAACCGGCAGTATAACAGTTCGCGTAGGATGGCGGACTATCTGGTATTTTCTGAGCTCTCCAGTTTGCCGTTTGATTTATAATAGCTGCATCGGTTATAGATGCTTCCAAGAATCGTCGATCCTAGATAACGATCGATTTTATCGAGTTTCGTGATGGGGAATAAAACTCGAGCCCGCCATATTTATATTTCGCCGAAGTTTTAAATTTTTCTTCTTTTTCTTCTTCTTTTTTTCTCCCCTCCCTCTCTCCAAAAGAATAGAATCCGTTGTTTAATTGGGATCTATTGTTCCTCCACGAGCGGGCCGCTCTTGACTTTGAAGTGGCTTGCCAGTTTAACTGGCTTTGCAAACGTTTGCTCGCGAAACACACGACATCGGGCGCCTGTGCCGGTGAGAAATGCCCCAAGGTATACAACGGATCTGTCGAGGAAAAGTCTGTCGAGGGCCGGTGGAAAAACTCGGAGAAAATTGGATAACCATACGTGTCTGCGCGTGCGTGTGCGTTGCGTATCGGCAAACAAGGGACACGGAATAAATAACAATCTCTTCTATCCTGTCGAAATTCCTGTCCGGGAAACGTAAAAACGTTCGCGAGAACGAAGGATCGTTCCTCTCTTTCTGTAAACTCGACCATCTCGAAAATGGCTCGAGGCATAGAAAAATTATTATTTCGGCCTATTTTCCTCCGGTTTGAAAAGCCGGAGGACTATTAATACGATTCGAACACTGTCGAGCTCGCGGTGATTTATTGTTCCAATCGCGGCGCACGAAATACGGGGAAAGCAGTTTTGAATCTAGGCTTATCGATCACGGAGCCGAACTGCATGGAGCCGAGTCGAATCTCTCTCCCTCTCTCTCTCTGGAACAGAAACAGATGGTCATATGTTAGCCGCATTAGTACGACGAGTGACTTTCAATCAAGTTACGCTAGCAACCCCCGTTCGCTCATAGAGAGCACACCTCAAACGTCGATATTCGAATTCGTGTCTCTTCCCCCATTGATCCCGGTGAACGATCGAACGAACACACAGTTTCTCTGCACGAGCACAGTTTCCTTTCGTAACTCGATTCCGTTTCGAGAATCGCGATCGAGAAGAATTTATGAATCTATTTCGGATAGCATACTCGAGATCGTGGCCTTATTCAATCGAAGCATTTCTCGAATCGTTTTTTTTTTTCGTTTTCCTCCCTTTCCTTCGATCGAATCAAAAGAATCGAAATCGTTGGGATCTAGAAATCGCTCGAAATGAAAATGTTTGCGAGCCGTGTCTCGTAATAAGTCATCATGCTCCAGTTTCAACGAAAGGGGGGTAATAAGGCGTAACGAGAAATCGATATTACGGTGAAAACAACGAGTAAACAAACTCGTGAACGAAAACGAAATTTTTATCTCGAGCTTTTCGGGAGGATAATTTATAATTTTTTAGCGGAGATGTATAAACGATCCCGCGAATCGAATATAAAAATTGCGGGAGGAATTCGCGGGCGATTCGTTAAAATTTTTCACGGTGAATGACGGTGAAAAATCATGGAATCTTTAAAGTATATAAATGTTTCCCTGTTGCCCCTGGTCATCTCCAGCAACCCTCCGAAATTCGAGGGTTCAGCAGCTTATTAAAAAACGTGAAATCACCGCGATATCATCGCGCTGAAGTCGTTGCAGACTTAATACGATACTCATTAACCAGTTATCGCGGCTGAAATACGTAAGTGAGATTTATTAACGTTTCGTGGCACGGTTGGGATCGTACGTGCTCACTGGGCCGTGGTATCGCGATTTTTTTCATCTTTGCAGGCTTACGAACCACGTGGGGGAGAGAGAAAAAAAGAGATAATTGCGTTATCTCGAGCAAAACGAGCTGATTGCGATTACCTTTTTTTGTTTTTTCTTTTTTTCTTTACCAAGGTAGTGGATCTTGTTTATCATCCACGAGATTGGTCGAAACAGAAGAGGGGGGGAAACGAACGGTAAACGTGCACGGAAACGATGCCTCGATCATTTTATCGTTTTTTTGGATCATCGATTGTAATTTCTCCAACTATAGGATGGAATACAACGGAATACACCAGATGCCTTTTCTCATAAAAAATTTTTAAACGTTTCTCGACTAATTACGCGAGAAACATCGTTCTCGTAAATGAAATTTTATGTAGGTAATCTTTGTTCGTTGTTTCAACGCGTAAAAAAAAAAGAAA